ATAATAATAATAATAATAATAATATTACGCGTAACCTACCATATTCGTAGAGCAGGGTATAATGGCTCATGTACCATGATGACTACAAGCCAGTGAAAATTCTGTAATATAATCGATTTATCCAATGATCAACTCGTCTGCGTTCCGACCACATTGCAATCTTCTCGAAACATCTAAAAGAGAATTTTTAAAGGGACACCATCATGAGTCGTGCATGTAAGAGCTTTCGATCCAGAGTTCGAAAATGTCCGGTGGACGATTTCAATCTGGCATTTTCGAAATTCAAAATGGCGTCGACAAGTGAGACTACGCAATGAAAGTAGCATGGTCAGCTGAGCTACTTAGTGCATCTTGATCAAATCATAATATTCTGAAGAATCTACATTCACTTAGCTTTCTTCTGACGTATTGAACGTAGAATTCTGTACAGGTATGCTGGTGAAAACAAGTAATTTATAATTAAGAAATAGGAAACGTGTACTGTGTTTCTATCGAGTTATAGAAACACGAGTGCAAGTTTGGAAGAGCGAGAAATGCTGTGGGAACACGAGCCGCACCACACCTTTTTCGAGTTTTCCCTAACGTTCACGAGTTTATAATTCGATGTTTTCTATTTCTTTTAGAAAAAACAACTTGTTAACTTTGATTATCAAAATGTAAATTATCTTTGCTCGCGCCATCATTACATCAACAGCTCGTGCTAGTTCTGTGTTTCTATCGAGTTTTACTAGAATTCTACTTGAACAGCAATGCAAATGCTGCAATCTGATTGGCTGAGCCATTGCACACTATCAGCCATTAGTGTTCAGTGGCTTGGTGTGGTCAATAAAATTTCAACGTTTTCTCGTTTCTCCGAAGTTTTGAAAGAACATTCAAAAACAAAAGGATAATTAAATTCCTGAGAAGACTGAAAAAGGACATTCACGGTTTCTGGAATTAAAAAAAAACTTGAATTTTTTGAGAGAAACTGATGAGCGCGCCCACACAACTGGAAATGTCAAATTGACGACTCAGTCCGGGCGAATTCTCTAAAGCGAGAAGTTTAATATTAAGACCAGAAGTATTTGGAATAGTTCAGTTTGAAAGAAATTTCAGTTAGAATTCTACTAAAACAATTAGATTATTCGCTCTCGATTTCTATGGTGTGATAGTTGATTCGGCCTTCGGACTCATCAACTATCATCTCATAGAAATCGAGAGCGAATAATTTAATTGTTAAATAGAAACACGATTTTTAACCAATCAGCGCGCGTATTTTCTCAGGACTGTTTGCTAATTTGAAAGATGCATGGATCGTGTTGCAATTTGAGGGTAATTCCGGTGAAAAACGGCTTAATGTTTTTTGGCTATTTAATACGGCATGAGTTTTAGGCTATTTAGCGCGTCATGAATGTATATTGGAATTTGCAGTAACGTAGCTGTCACTAGCAGGATTAAACTTAAAAATCTGAAGGGATACACTAGAGAACTGGCACTGGTGAATTTATGAACTCAGTTGTCTTGTCATAGTTAATAGAGGGGACTGGTTATGAAGCCCGGCAAACATCGAAGGAACAAACAAAGATGCCACGATTTATGTTGGAAGGTCCACGACCGTGCACAACCTTTTTTTTTTGCGCTCATACACTTTGCATGAGTTACGCAACCAAAACGTTTCTATTGGTTAGTTTTTCGGTCAGTGGTAAACAGCTATTGTGTTTTGTGCACGTTCAAGGCCAAAAAAGCGAACAAAAACATACAACACACGACCCAGGTCAAGATTCTCCCACACAGACCGACTAAGCTCGGTTAATACGATGTTTATTATATGATAAACAAGAAAAATTTAATTCGTTTAATGTAACTGTGGCTTATACTAGCTGACTGATTTTGCTTGCGAACGGCGATGAGCTGAACGTAAATCTGCCAAAGTTTACTTTTCTTCTCATCAGGCATTTTGGCACCTCCACAAATATATTTGGAAGAAAATTGTCAATATTCTTGTATTTTAATTTGTAACTTTTTCACCGCAAAATGTAACCGGTCTAGATGGGAAAATCTGGACGCGGTCAAAATCGATTTCAGCCAATCAAATTCATGAATTCCGTAGTTCCTAGTCCTTATGAGACCAGCCGTATAATAAAAAGCCATACACCCCTGACCAGTTTTCGAGGACTTAAGTTTATTTGTCTGTGAGCTGTTTTTAGCGGTTTCGGAGCCAGGCAATGCGACTCTGATGGACATGCGCAGCAAATCCTAACTACCAGGCCCCCGCATAATATTTAAGGCGCTTTGCATTCCGTAAAGTATCGGTTTACATTTCCCGAAATTTCCAGCGACGAATCAGGGAGCAGCTTTCCCCGGAATTTCTGGTAGAGGACAACCTGAAGAGTCACACCAAAATTTCAGAAAATTTCTGATTGTGAATTTCCGTTCCATCTGATTTTCTTCCCGCAATTTTCAGAAGTTTCGGTTGAATGGTTCGTAAAAGAAGAAAAACAAAATAACAGTTTTCGGGTTTTCTGGAAACGCTCCCGAACGAAATTTCCGTATCCGATTTACCTCCGTCTCGAAAATTCAGGAATTTCTGCTGGAATTGCAAGCGTCCTCAGTGTTAGAAGATTGTCAAGAAACGTAGGGTGCTTACCATTTGTCAGAATGAACCGTTTGGAATGACCGTGGAATAATGGTAAGGGTTTTTCCAAATCAGCAAACCAACCAAACGTGACGGCGCCTACCATTTCGCCTACCATTCCTCGTAATTGTTTTCATTCGACTGATGAGAGACTGGAAACTGAAAAATGTACCAAATGGTAGGGAAATTTCCGCCGTTCCGCTACGAAAGGAGAAAGAAGACTATGTAGTCCACACTTTCCGAACGGATTTTCAGGGAAATTACTGTTCCATTTGACTTTCAACCGAAATTTCCGAATTTTTTTGCCAAATGGTAAGCACCCGCAGTCTACAAGTATGTCTTTGTGCTCGATAGAGCTTTTCCGCACACGGGACTGGCGACCGACAACTTGTTTGGGATAGACACGCCAACACTTTTAGTCAACTTTAAGGCCTCAGACAAATCGAATGTTTTATAAATTCACATGTTAATTCCACCAGAACTTTACAGTTGTCTTTCATCACGGGAATTCGACCAAGACTTCCCTAATTGATTTAGAGGTCTTCAAATCGGGTTTAAGCATGCACCTAGGCATACGCTTTATCTTTAGAAAAAAAAAATACATGCAACCACACCCATTGGGATCAGACCTTTTTTAATTTTCTTAGACATTTTAGGTCGTCGCCTACGGGAGACCTCTACTGTATTTATTCATAACAATTTAATTTAATTTGAATTCCTGAGCCAGAGTTGTGTCGCGTTTGAGTTCAGTTTTCACTGAAACAGTCTATGGATCTGACGTTACTGGTAAAAAGGCAATGAAACGTTTTCTTTGCCTCAGGTAAGGGCTCAAAAAAGGTACAAAATTCGCTTAAAATGTGGCCTCGTGTCCGAGCGAGCGACTTAGCTAACCTATATATAGCTAGGTCGGCATTGTTGTTCTTGTTGACATTGATCACTGCATTACCACATGCCATCACAACACACTATAAAAATTCTGTCCAGTGTTCAAAATATTTATTCTATAACCGTTTGTGTAGGTTCACCTATTTTGCAGGCTTTCAATGGCAGTAACAATATTTCCGTAAAAGTGGAAATTTCTTCGCAATGCAGTACGGTTGGTCTTTGTAAGCGTCAATACGACTAACATCGCCTGCAAGTGAAGGAACTCCTTTCTTGGTCCTGACGGAAGCTTCGTAAACTCCTTCATTTGGTGATGTTGTAAACTGCAGCTGATATAATGTGTCACCGAGAAGTGTATTAGTAGATTTCTCACCAAATAGTACTCCACACGAATCGCATTCCTCGTCACGTTTACTCTCTGAAAAGAACTGCATCTCTTGGCTTGGCATGTCACGAAATGCGCTATTGATTTCCTTTAAAACAAGTGTCTGACACAACTTCTTCAGCTGGGAGTTTTGGAACATCAAATTGTTCATGTACTTGACTGCAAATAGCGCCAGATCTTTGATTAAGGGTTCGTCTGTAGAAACTTCTTCAAGGTTCAGACAAGGACACCAGTGTTCCTCGACACCCGCGTTTTCGCAAGTGCGGTTGCTCCCGTCAATCTTGCTAAACAGGCTTTGACCGGTTGTAATTTCGCTGGCTGGGTAACTTGGGTAAGACAAGATGTGACGAAATGTGGCGTACACATCAAAGGGCGTAGTTAATACTTTGGAGTTATGGACGAGATTCCTGTAGAGATCTGGGTGCTTCTCTTTGAACCATTCAGGAAGTGTGAGTGAAATAAAAGGTAGACGTTCTTCTAATTTACCTTGGATTGTTTTTCTCAGACCAGAAAATCGGATTCCGTGGTCACCAAAGATAACTAACATCGTGTTTTTGAGAAAGTTCTCGTTTTTCATGGTTTGTAACACGCTTTTCAAATCATCGTCAACATAACCAATCGGGTTAAGATCTTGGTGTGAAATAACAGCATGCGTTATTAAAGAAAACTTTGGCTTGTCTTTGTAAGCGCGGAAGAAACTCAACAAATACTCCAGGGAGATGTTATGAGCAGCTCTGCCACCGATGCAGTACTTTTGGATAATATTCTCCGCTTCCAACCAAAATGGCCTGGCGAAGTGGTCTGTAGGCGGATCTCTGAAGCCGTGCAATCGGTAATTGAATGATGCATAAAGTGGCGAGTCTTCTGAGAATAAGGTAGCATATCCCTTCTGTTTAAAATCTCTGAAAATCCACCTCCATTTATCGACTGTGTCAGATGAATTCTCGCCCCGTCTGGCCTCAGGTTGTTTCTTTTCAGCTATTCCAGTAAGCATCGCACACAATTGAGCTGTGGTACCATCGCCGACAATTGTTTCGCCTAGGAATGGAATGGAGTCTTTATTTTAGGCGTTCACTTGAATTCCTAAAGCTCTATTTTAAACGGGTTAATGGCGAGTGGTTTCTCTGTAATCCTGTCATATTCTCTTTTCAGCAAGAATAATTAACAATCATTCCTTGCATACAGCGGCTGCGCCCGCAGTAGGAGCAACAGTCAAAACCGAGCTGTCCTGCCGAAACGATACGGTAACAACCTTTTTCTTCGCAGCTAACAAAAATAAAGACAATGCCAAAGTTGCTTTGGCCTTTTCTAATAGTTAACTTGAGAATTCCGGGTTTAATTTGACGAGGAAGAGCATATTTTGTTCCAGTTAAGACAACTATTATCCTACCTGGCGAAGACCCTGAACTACGAGCGAGTTGCCATACCGGACGCCGGCAATTCATTTTTGGCGCCAAATTAGAAGCTTGGAGACACAAAATCTTTCAGATTTTTCACCTATTACAATCTGATATGGTTTTGGGAATTGTAAATCCCTTTTTAACGCCATCTCCAGTGAGAAAAGTTGTCTTTTTTCAATGCCTTTCCTGCTATAGACTAACGTTGACGTCAGGACAGTAAAGTTTTTTCCCCCTACTGAATCCTGATTGGTCAATTCAAATTTCAGGCGCACCAGCCCTATGCAAGGTAGACGAGGTTGAACAAAATGTCGTGATTTGTCAGTGGGGAGCAGATCAATTATTTATTATTTACTGAATCTGTGACACACTGACAAATCACGACATTTTACGATAACCGAGTTCAATTCGATCACCAAATTTGTTTTCATGTTTAAATCATTCTCCGACGGTTCAGAAAGCCATCTGCCATTTTTCACACAAAAGCGTAGTTACAATTACGCATGAGCAGAATATAAGTCGCAGCAAAACACATTTAGAAGGTATTATGCATGAGCAGACCATTATTTGTAGGCAGTTATTTGTAGGTCACGTAGTGGGCTCTTGGCCAATGAAAAGGAAGGGCAAAATGCATCGAATGATATTTTGGTTATTGAACCTCAGTTAACTTATGATAAGTGTAGTTATTTTTTTCGATGCTATTCCACAACCGCTGTTCTCGTTTAGTGGAGCCTGGGCATGACACTTGTTCGAAAAGTAGCCTGCGAGAAGGTTCACCTTGGGCTCACACGAGCGGACAAGAGCGAATCAGTGAGCGAAATGATCCGGCAGGGAGGAGTCAGGCGCGGCAGCGCCAAGCGGCCTTGCCACTCGAGCGTGTGGTCTCGAAACGTGAGCCAGCGCGCAGGCTTGTGATTAAAGGGTTTTCTTTCATTCCATAATGTGACAAAAACAAAACAAGCAAGAGCATGCAAAAGGAAACTCAACGAAAACACTATAAAGCATCTTAATTATCGTATATAAAATACATTTGTATGGCCAAAGTTATGAAACCACGGCGAAGCTGCACCGAAAACGCACGGACGCTTATAACTATGATTTTTCACACTTCGCGATTTTAAAGCGTACCTTCTAGCAAGATGGAGTTGAGGTTCTTGGTCAAGTATTCCAAAGTGTTAGGCATCTTTCTTTTGAAATTAGCCGCCGAGGTGGAATCGTACATGATAAGAGCAATATCAAGTGGAATACCAACAGGCTCCACAGGCCTTGTGGCGACCTCTTCTTTTGGAAAAATTTGCATGTGTACGTCACTCCATTTCCTGCCTCTTGTGGTGACAACATCCACTCGAACGAAGTCCGCTTTCACTGTTGCCTTTCCCAAAAATGGAACTATAGGAACAGTCAGACAAAAACCAAACAAAGATTAAGTTTGTGTAGCATTCTGCGTTACAAATAGTCCCATGTTGATGTATATCAGAAAGGAGAAAAAAAATCAAAATTTGATTCATGGTTAAGGTGCTTCTATCGAACACTAATGCAAATACTGCAGTCTGATGGGCTGAGTGATCGTACTCTATCCGCCATTAGTGTGCAGTGGCTACGGAATGGCGACGTTTTGTTTTGTTTTTCCAAAGTTTTGGAGGACCATCATGTTGCAAGTGGTAATTAAATTACTCAGAAGACTAAAAGATGGACATTTGAGGTTTCTTGACCTTAAAAGACTTAAAATTATCGAAAAAAAAAAAAAACCATGTGCGCGCGCACACAACTGCAATCTCAAATGACAATTCAATCCGAGCGATCTTTCTAAGGCCCGAAGTTCAATAGTACGTCGATAAATAATTGAAAACCCTTATTTGAAGTAAATTTCAGTTAGAATTCTACTAAAACAATTAGATTCGTCGCTCTCGATTTTTCTGTTGATAGTTGAGTCGACCTTCGGCCTCTTCAACTATCACCTCTTATAGTTCACCACTAAATTTTCTCCGAATCTTACTGGTTTATGTTGATCACGTGGTGCGATAGTGTTCTTCCGCGGCGAGACACTCTCAGATCATAGTGCCCGACCGAGGAAAATACCCGGATGGATAGTACTCGTCCGTGAAAAATTTTCTGTAAACAAGGTTTGCAAAAAATAACTGAGCAATTGAAATTGTATTAAGTGGGTTTTCGTCTGTTTTCGTTTACAAATTTTACATTTGGCTGTCACGGCTTTCATCTAAAAAAGTTGAAAATAATTTAATACGATTTTTAAACTGGCGCACGGAAGAAAATTTAGTGGTGAACAATAAAGGCAATAGAGTGTTCACGTCTCGGAACTATCGGTCTAATAGTTGCCCCTTGGAAATTTAATGTTCTTAAACCTAGCATATTTGCCCTCGAAGCTTCGCTTCTCGGGCAAACATTTGTTATAAGAACATCAAATTTCCGCGGGGCAACTATCAGCCGATAATTCCTCGATCGACAGAAACACTCTATTGTTTAAATAGAAATCTCGAGCTCGTAATCTAATTGTTAAACAGATGTACGCGCGTGGGAGTTTTGACAACGAGAGCAGCACAAGATTTGCTCGAGGCGTAGAGACTGGGCACCTCTAGCGTTTAGAGTCTTCTCTGGACTTGTCGTGTGCTTCCATAACTCGATAGTCACAACGTTCAAGGCTTGAACCAATTCTTGAGTTATAACGAAACGAAAGCCAGACACAGCTTTTACTCGCGAATCAAGTTATGGATCGCCGCTAAACACTATTGATTAAGGTAGGTAAAAGGTAAAGTCTGCGTACGAGCCAAGTGGCCCATCAGGCCGGAGCTTATCCCGGTTTCTGTAGCATGAAGCGACTAGGAGTATTTCTNGAACACAACACAATGTCCCCTGCCAGGGCTCGAACCCGGACCGCTCGATCCGGAGACGAGCGCACTAACCATGAGGCCACCGCGCCTCCCCAGCGGTAGCGGGAATTTACTGACCATGTTGTAAAATATAGCTTTTTTTCTGTATCAGAGTTATCTTTTCGTAAAGTTGGTCAACTATATATACAGAGTGGTCACCTAGTTAAACAAAAAAGTAATCCTATAAGCAGCTATTGGTGCGGATAATTTGGTATAATAACAACTTGGAAACTCATAAAGTTTCAATAAAAAAAAATAAGTAAAAATATATATGAAAGGTCATTAAGTTGATATACAAATAAACGGGCGCACAGTCTACTTAGTTAGAGGGGATAAAGATCTATCCTATTGAAAATCTGGAGACACTATTTTATTCCCTCAGAATTTCATTCAGCACAAGATCGACTGGAGCTCTAAACGGCCAAAAAAAATTGACAAAAACACTGAAAAAAAAACAAAACGAAGGTAAAAATAGGGAGATAGAGAAACAGGGAAAAAGGGAAATTGAGAAAACTACATAAAAACGATCAATTAACATTACATTTCCTTGTTCTTGTAATCCAGTTCCAGAATCTTCTAAAGAGACCTAAAAGAAAAAAAAAAAAAGAATGACGCATCAATTATGTTATTAATATGTTATTTCTCTCTTACTTATTATCATTTGCGTTCTACTTTGCAAGGACACAAATGTGTGTTGGGTGTCTGTACACTGAGGCAAAATGAATCAAGATTTATTTCTCTGTTTTGTACGAACATTCGCCTCGCTTTCAATACTGGTCTCGGTTTATGACAGACGCCCTTGCTCGCGTCCTTGCTTTAGTCCCCCACCGGGGCAGTCCTACCCGAACTATTCCATGTAGAACACCCCAGACTAAGGGGGAAGGGGAGGGGCAGAGGAGGGGGAGGGGGAGGGGGATTGCAGCTACCAGCTTGTCCCGCAAAGTAAGTAACATACAGATCTCTGGGATCATCAGTGTGACTGGAAAAGCCACTCAACGACTCATCCTCCAACAGACACACGCATACACTGAAACAAATGTTCAATGCGCCAACAAACATGTCGAACACACTCTGTAATATCCGATAACTCTTAGTCATACACGTATTTATAAAGGAAGGTATTCTTGACGCACTGCGAACTGTTTGGAAATTTGGTGAAACAATGTCCGTCGTTAATTCTTGACAGAATTATAAATACTCTCAATTGTAACAGATGTTTTGATGCTTTTCTTTGGGATGATTCGGTCAGGATCAAGGATCCAAGATCACGCGGATCATGACGCATCAAAGGAAATGATAAATGATGGACCAGAATGAGTTCATCAGTTCCTTTGCTGATCCGAGTGATCTTAGATCACTGATCCTGACCAAGATCATCCCAGAGGATGGCACCCTTTAAAAACTAAAGAGAAATCTGGGAAATAAAACCATAATATTCTAAGAAAGCTTGAGTTAAATTCTCTCCGTTTCCATCAGGCCACTGTACAGACGGCAGAATAAGTAAATTTCTTGAAATGCCAGTGAACCGCGGTTACTGAACATGTACCACTGAGCACTTACATGCCGCCAACTGTGCGTGAACTGGAATATTGAAGTTCAAACTGGTTAGAGGCTGTGTAGACAAGTAACAGATGTTTTCTAATTTTCTCTAAAGTAAAGCCAAGGCATACATTTAACAATTATTTCCCTTAGTGTCGGGGGCAAGTGGTGGATATTTATCGAGCCGCGAAACCAGATGGATAAAATACCCGCCAAAATTGGCTAAGACTGGGAAGTCTTTCGTAAGTATTTTCGCGCGCAAAATGTGCAGCCGTGTAAGAAAAAACACATGATTCGTCACGTGATCAACAAATGAAATCAAAACGTTGCTGGCCCGAAGACTCACACTGGAGGTATTGCCGAGTTGCGGTAAGCAACTTTTTGTTGCAGAAAACTGTCTTCGCGTTTTCTAAAACTTTTGAAAGCATTGGTTAAGTTGCTTCAGTGACATTTCTTTTAAAGGAACTGTAGATCTTCTTATTGGAACCATGCTCTGAGACATTTTATAAAATACCTTTCATCGTTTTAATCTCGCTAGCCTCTAAACTATAACCGACTTGAGTTGCTTTGTTGAAGTTGCCGTAAATTCAGTTGGAAATTATAAGGAAATCGTTTTGTGTTTCCCCGATATATTAACACCACGGCTAAAAAATCCTTGTAATTACTGCAAAGCTGAATTTTAGTTGTCTTCAAGGTAGCAGAGACAGCTGCCTCGTAGATTGCTAAACTTTACTCAGTTTTGAAGGAAGACAGGTAATTATTTTGTCGACCTACGACTCTCACGAGCTGGGCCAAGGAATGCTGGGAGGTAGATTACACACACTACCAAAACTCGAACAACCAATCTGCATATTGTGACATTCGCTTCTGACCCCCTGGTATAATGGCACTGACACTTAACTAAGACCAAATGCAGGAAGGTACCAATTGTAATAAGCTGACTAGAGAATTCTGGATCCACAAGGAGTGACAGTTTACACTTCAAAGGAAAATTCAGGAAACCTTCACTTTTTTGATGGGAGGTGGAAGGTGGGATTTAGATAGGGGCCAGGAGAGGTCATGCCAAAACATATTGCTTTAACAGGGGGTGAGGGTGGGAGGGGGTGATGGCCAAAAACATGTAAAACATAGTGTGTGTTTAAGGAGGAGTCACACAAGATATTGATGGTATCTGTTAAAGTGCAAAAATTTCTAAATTTCTGAGGTTCTGAAAATTTAAAATCTTCTGAGGAAGGATTCCTCAAGATCCCACTGTTTTGTTATGCAATGATGAGATTACAAGGGGAGGAGGACGGGAGTAACAATTTGTAAATATAGAGAGGGGGGAGACTCTTTATCAAATCCTACCAGCCCCCTACTCCATAAGATTGAGTGGCTCCACAGAAAAGCAAGCCAAACAAACAGACATAAAAAAGAAACAAATAAACAGAGAAAGCCAACTGGCACATACATGGTTTTAGTGCAATTATAATTCTACTTATGCTTATTATTTTAGCATTCTTTAGCACTTTTTGCCAGACAATCAAAGTTTTCAACAGGTTTGTTTTGCAGCTGGTTATGTTTAAAGAGGAGTGATACAAATTGACCAAAACTTAGCCGACTATTGGCAATAATGTATATTAACCTAGAGCACTGCACAGCTCCCCAATTTTAAAAGGCCAATTTGTTAACCAGTTGGAGGTGCAAGGGGCCCCGGGATTCCTTTGGCAGTGGATATGCTTGTAGTATAGTAAATAAAGGTACAGCAGAAATTTGAGAGAAATCATTACTTCTTTTTTCAAATTTTTTTAAGATGATATTCGCAACCTTACAATTTTTACCCTCCACCCGTGACAGTTGGCAGGGAGATTAGGTTGCCTGAGTCATGGTTAGCTGCTGCATAATCTCAGGTTTGAGCAGCCAGGGTTTGGGCCTTGGTGATGCCATTGCATTACACCCTCTTGGGAAAAAACAGCTCACTCTCACAATGTTTGACTTGCCACACAAGTGTGTAAATGTGTTACTTTGTACTGGCAAATTTAATGCTGGTGGTTTTATAACCCCACAATTAAGATTGATTTCAATCATTCTCCCGAGTCCAGTCTATGTTCCTCCCTGAAAGTGGGCTCCTTCCTCGAACAGTGGCTGGTAATTGAGCCTACCCCTTGATGGACTAGCATCCCTCCAGGGGGAGTAGAGTTACTCATAATCACTATTTGGCCTATAATCAGGTTTAATGGAACAAGGGAACATGGTCATTTAAAACCTCTTTGGGGTCATTTTGAGTTATCAAGGGATATGTCCACTAACAACAGAACCTCTGATGCAAAATGTGAAGGAACAAATGAATTCATTCATATAAGGAATAAGGGAGGGCAATTCTTGTAAGGGATTAGGGTAACATAAACTCCCCTCCCCTGGGAGGCCATTATTTTCCTCGACAATTTCCTACACTCTTGGAAGTATACTTGTCATAACAGTACTGTGATTACATAGCCTAATAGAAAACAGCTACCATTAGCCAATCAAAATTTTATGACCACTGAGGTGCCCCAACAAAAGATAACTTTCTCTGGGTTGAGAAGGGATTGAACATATATGAATTCATATGGTTGAATGGGGGATAGAATTTAAATTCATTAACTCTGTTGTTTGCAATTCTTTTTAAAAAGAATACAACTAAAGAAACCTGGAATATCACCATTCTTCACCATCCTTTCAGGTAAATATCGCTAAATCACCATTCTGTTTCTTTAAAAGGATCATAAATCATCACTCATCAATCTTCTTTTTCTTATGATAGGTGAGTCAAAGGCTGCATCAGTGGCCCATTCAGCCAGAGCTTATCCCAGTTTCAGTATAGCATGAAGCAACTTGAAGTATTTCTACCACCCACCTTGATGGGATGCAAGTCTACTGCAGGATTACCCCCCCAGCATTCAATTTGCTGTCACCTTAATTGTCCCAAAGAACACAACACAACACAACACAATGACCCAAGCCAGGGCTTAAACCCAGACCACTCAATCTGATTAGAAAAAAAAATGGCACACTATTTGACTGTTCTCCAGATTTTAGCTCAACTCAAAATTAAACCTGGCTTCTAAAGATAGGTAGAACATACTTCTACCAACATGGAGCCAAAATCTGAACCAGTATGCAACCTCTAACCATTCAGAGGCCTGGGAATTAAGCTTTAATAGAAAACAATGTCACAGAACCTAAATGGTAAGAATGACGGTCTGACAAACACAGGCTAAATAAATGTTACACCTGCTCTCACTCCTTAGGTGCGAGTCTTGCACCTGCTGGTTAAAAAAATTTGATCTCATGCCTGACCTCATGTATGTATGTATCTCTCATCCCTAACTAGAAAATTTGACCTAGAAAGGCCTATTAACTGCAACAATTTAAAAATATATATGAACTTGAACTGATTAAAAAAAAGGTTTAATTAAGAGATGGAACTGCTTCTCCTAATTAACTGATTTTCAAGGGACAAGTTCTGGCAATGGTGTTATTTTAGGGAAAATGTGTTTAGATCAAACTAAGAAGCCTTCAGACATTTTAGCAGAAATACTGAGTTCATCTTCAAGAACCTTGGCAATCCCAGGACAAAATCTCACTGTCATGATGCTTGAAATGAAATACTCAGTTCATCTTTGAGAACTACTCAGTTAATCTTCAGAAAGATGCGGAAATTCAGAAACATCTTTGTGTCACGCGACAATCCAGTGAACAGCCAAAATGAGGTGTGTAACGCAACAAATTATGCCACAATCGAACAAAACTTGCTGATTTATTCCGCTTGATTTCGTCTGCAGAAATACTCAGTTCATCTTCGAGGACCTTGGCAATACCAGGATAAAATCTCACTGTCATGTCGCTTGTGATTTGGAAAAAGTCAGCAGTAATACAACAACACAAACTGCTACTGAAAACTGCCTCAAATTCCAATTGATAAGTAGTTACAAACAACATGGTGAGGATCATAGCTTCACTTGAAATGACTTCAAAACTGGGTTCAGTATCTTCGTGTCACGCAACATGCTAGTGAACAGCCAAAATGGTGTGTAACGCAACAATGGCGCATTGAACATAACTTGCTACGTTATTCCGCTTGAGCCACAAATTTACTCCTTCTGTTTCTTAGCTGGTCTATACGACAATGTTTTCGCGCTTTGCGATGTGACGGTCGTTTCGAGGAATAAAATTTCGCGAGCAATGCACGTGTATCTTCGTTTGTTACAGTTAAAACACAAGTGATTTACGAAATCGCACAATCCGCGCGCGTGATTGATATCGCGTTTGTTATAATGGGAACTCAGGAGTACGAAAACACAATTCCCTACAATCGATTTACGTAATCACGCAACGTGTATAGTAGTTTGTTGAAACTATGGAGCAAAATAAAACCCATGCGCTGGTTTGACAGAATTATAATCGCAAATTAAAAGCTATATATACGTTCATTTCTATACATTGACCTGTTCCTCGTGTCAAAAGGGTGTGAACGTTAATGTCGAAAGTCTGATATTTCACTAATAACTTATTGTGATAAAAATCAACTGCTTGCATAGTTTTCAGTTTTCATTCTGAGCACTTGTTGGTGATTTAACAGTAGCCAACGCTTCGTTTGTGCACAGTTGTTCTCTGTCGTTCATTCTCATTGTCGAAACAAATACCTTGCCAGTCACAACGACACAACCTTCGCGAGAAATACTCGAGATTTACCGGCTAAAGATGATGAATGCAAAAGTTTAAATTTAAACACTCATTGATACGACTATTTTCGGTTTGAAAGCAGTTCGAATTTCCGCATTTTAGACGTTTCAATATCCTCGCGTTAATTCGTTCTTTGTCGTTTTGCACGCGTGCAACTCAAACTACATCTAAAGTAATTAAGTTGATTTTGAAACAGCTAGGTTGAAACAAGCCTTTCGCGGCTTAAACGTTAAGAAGAAAACTGAGTTGGTACTACAACAGAGCAAAGTATATGAAATACGAATTCCTCACCTTCATCAGCAGGGTTTTCCGTCGTCTTTTCCGCTATGTTAAGCAACCTCTTAGGAGCCGACAAGGTAACGTTGAAATCATCTCCGTCAGGTCTTTCAATCGTTCTGTATTGTACAGCAGCAAATCCATCTCCTTTCACTTCAAGCACATTGTTTATAAAAGTCGAATATCTCTCCCCTTGACACTGTAACTTGCCGAGATCTTTCACAAATTCTAGTATGCTTGGATGAAACGGATCCAGATTAGGCAGTCGACACGCCGAGCTGTAGTTTCCAACTCGCTTGACGTATTTTACCCGAAGAGTCTTTTTAAATTCGGTATTTAACTGAGGGTTCGATCCAACAATGCCGTTTGCCGAAAAATACAAAACAACACCGATACCACAACACGCAATAAACAAGATAAAAGCGATGTTGATTCGACGAAATTGTACTCTGTAAGGAAGCGAGAAACAGCCGAAGATTCTCATCATGTTGAAACTACGACAACTAAGTAGACACGCGTTGCCAAGTACTGCTAAGTATTGATTTCTACGGTGAACAATTTACATGTAAAGAAGGAACTGAAAAATTCGCATCTGTACAACACTACACGAGAGACGATTGCCCAACACAAGCGACGCCGATGTTGTTACCGATCACCGTCAGGCCCAAAGGGAAAATTCTCACCCACTCTACCTAGGCGAGAAAATAGTCTGTGTACGTAAGCACGCTAGGAGACGGGGCGAGAAATTGCGTGCTCTCTTACGTCATGAGATTCTNATGATAATGACCATACAGAATATAAAGTATGTCACGCTAAGTAGGAGTTAAGCATGTTTAAGAAATGTTCGTAATATTGTCCAGTACGGCGCCCCATAATTCTGAGCGCCTCAGGACAATCAACACCTGTACCTACAGGTGCTGTCACAAACTTTAACACTTTCACACAGGGGGCCCGAACACTATATCAGCAGTAAAAATAAATGCGCTGTTATTTATCTGTGTTGTCGATCGATCACATCTTTTGTTCGGGTTCTAGCAACGTTGAATTTATGTTTCCCACAAATTGAGTAGTCCATGAGTAGTCCATTCAAGTAGTAGTTCAAGTAGTAGTTCAAGTAGTAGTTCAAGTAGTTCAAGTAGTCCATGGACCAGGTCCATCTGGGTAGTCCATGCGCTAGGGGTCAGCAAAATGTACCGACCCCCGTCGTCCTGCCTCGGAACAGGACGCTTTAGGAAAAACAAACATTAAATGTTTTCCTTTCAAAATACAATTTCAAAAATCCCTGAAATATTATGGCTTCTTATTTTATTCTTCAGGGCCACTTGTCCTGTGTATCACGCGTGTCTAGTCATGAATTCAGGTTTTCTATCAAATTTCTCTTTTGGGGTAACGTCTCAGATAATTCTTAAATTGAGCAGGAGAGTTGATAGGCCGAAGCAGTTGTTCTGGGGTCAGCATCAGGACAAAGATGTACACTGAACTTCAGCAATGTTAGCATCAAAATTTGCGCTTGAAGTGCTCGTATTTACGTGATGCAAGAAAGAAGAATGACTCTCTGTGCATCATTAGCCAGAAACAAAGCAATTTCTCGTTGATTCACGGTAACCTGTTCTGTAATTCACTTTGCATAAATACCGAAAAAGACAACTTCTGAGACAAACATTGCAAGCAACATTTTGCTAAATCTCAGAAATTTGTCTTACGTGCGACCCGGGCCCTAGCTAGCCTGCGAGCAGGCTCACATTTGAGTCACACGCGCGATCGCGCGAGCGGCGAAGAGCAAAGCGATCCGGCGGAAAGGAGTCTGGTGAAGAGGTGGTCTAGTCTGATGTTTGTTCAAGCCGCGAATCAATCGCGTATTTAAGTCCTCGGATTCTTATTACTCGGCAATCTTGTAAAACAGTGTATGATAGTCTTTAATTAATGTGTACCCTGGTCCCAGAGGTTTTTCTTGATTTTTCTTCTTTTCGCGAAGCGGCAAACAGAAGTCGCGAAGCCGTGAGAAAGCATGGCGTAGAATGCCTATTGTTCTCGGGACATTTACTTACAGTTCGAAAAAGTGTATAGGTATGTCATGACGCTTATTAATATTCATCGATGCTCCGAACGAGCTGTTTTCATTGGTTGCTATGAATGCGCGACAATACTCATTACCTCATGATGAGGCGGTAAACTAAACAATGAACTCTCCGCCTATTGTTTCTTTCTTTGTTTCNCACTAGACTATACAGAAAATCATCCACGAGGTCTTGTTGAAATCGCCAAGGAGAATAAACTTTTCTGGCAGTGGAACAGCCAACATGTGGGCTTCGAGTTCTTCGTAAAACTTGTCCTTGGTCTCCTCGGGGTTGGTCATTGTGGGGGTGTAGGCGCTAATCAGTGTAGCGGCCTTGCCGTTCACGAGCAGAAGCTGCATTTTCATCAGGCGGTCATTACGATCCTCGGAGATGCTTGCAAGCTTCTTGACAACGAGGTATTTGATGGCAGAGCCAACACTCACCTCGCGTCGCTCTCAACGTTACGTCCACTCCAAAAGAAAGTGTAGTCACCGCCAGTCTCAGAGAGTTGGCCTTTATCCGGAAGACGCGTTTCGCTGAGTGCTGCAATGTCGACCTTGTAGCGAGCCAGTTCTCTGGCCACGAGAGCCATCCTTCTGGCTGGTCTATTTACTCGGGTGTTGTCAAGCAGAGTTCTGGTGTTCCAAGAAGCCAAGACGAGTGAAATATTTCTCGGTTTCCTTGCATTTCGACCGCTGGCCAGGGTTGTGTGAAGCAGGCTCTGTTTAGGGCACCTTTCCTGGCCCCGTGCTCATGCTACGGAGGCTGACAGAGCGATCCTGAAGATGACTGCTCGGTCGCTCAGGTGGCTGCTGAACTCAACTGTTCCCTATGGCCTGTGTCTAGGCTCACGACTACAGCTTCCAGTGGGTCCACATCTGCTAGCTACTTCGACATCATCCCCTCAGTTCTTGAGGGGATGATGTCATGACTTGCGCGAGACTTGGATTTGAGTAAGGTGGACAGCTGGTGTATTGTTTTCGTGGGGAACCAATTTTTTTCGGACAAAATCAACCTAAAAACGACTCCCGAAACCTTTTTCCAGCGGTGTACGAGAAATATCGGTGCGAAGACACCTTTTTTCAACAAACCCTCTTTACATGTTGCATCCATATAAGCAACCAACTAAATATCTAAGCACGTGAGCTTCTCAGTAGGTAGGAGGAGACTGGCTTTCTTAACAGTGAAACGCCGAAAAAAATTCATGCTTGCTCAAGGGCGACATCGTCACGTACCTTAGTGCAGTCCGCCGCTCTTTCCAGCCATTAATATTGCGAACCATTGCAGCTTGCATTATTACCTGATCCTGCAAGTAGGGGAATGCAAAGTACCTTTTTCCGCTCTGAATTCTATCACGTCAACGGTATTTCTTGTTTGAATTCTGGCAATTTGAACTTGCTGCTGAAGACTGAAAATGGCAGAGAAAGTTTCAATTCATTCGTTCACATAGTACAAACAATGTACTATGTCATTACACTCACGCGTCTGTTGGCTTTTCTTGTCTGTGTAGGCCAAAGATCGTCTAGGAGATCCATATTACGCTGATTATAATCACAGAATTGCAGGGCTACCTCGCCCACCATGGAACGGGCTAGATAAGTTGTCGGTAAGTTTCAAAAGACTTTTTACACTCATTGTCTTATGCAGGTTACTAAGTTTGAAGAAGTTCAAAGCCATTTAAATAGTAAAATATATCTAGGTCGACTTTAAGAAAAGTAAAGATTAATTAGGGCCTCTTAATTTACAGTGATCGAAAGAATGCCATCTTTATTATATGGGACCATAAAGAATGCAAACTGAAACAACACATGAAATATTGATACTGCAAACTTTAAGTAGCCAACTGACACCTTCGTTGTTTCTTGTTGCTTCTTGTACTGGCTCAAAGGGGTAATATTTAGCTCGTATTGACCGAGCAGGAGGCCTGTATGGGAGAATCTTGACCGAGGTCGTGAGCACAGACCGAACGCAACGAGGTCTGCACACACGACCGGAGTCAAGACTCTCCCATTCAGACCAAGTAAGCTCGGTTAATAAGATGTTTATAATATGGCAAAAAAGAAAAAATTTAATTCTTTTAATGTAACTGGTTTGTACTAGCTGAGATGTTGCATCCGACCAGCGATGAGCTGCACTTAAATCTGCCAAAATTTGCTCGTCCGCTTTACTTTTTTTCCAATCAGGCTTTTCAGCTCGTCGAAAAATTATGGCGAAGAAACTAGCCAATATTTTTGTATTATGCCAGTCTAGATGGGAAAATCTAGACCGCGGTCAAAATCTATTTCAGCCAATCAAATTAGTGAATTCACTAGTCTCCAATCTTTGTGAGACACAGCCATATAATAAGAACCAATACCAATCTGTCTGTGGCTAAATGACTTAAGTTTCTAATTGAAATTGTGACTGAAATGTTTTCGATTCTTCACTGATTGTTTCAAACTGTCATCAGATCTGAGTATAATACAGGTAAATGCAGCAAAGCACCTTTGTGTCCAATGTTTAATTAGATGTAAGGCGCTACCTAACAGCTGAAGTAAAATCAGCCATGTCCCACACAAATTTGGATGAAAATGCAAATTACAGTGCGTAAGGAAACAAGGAAGCACTTTTTGGAATTACAGGAACTCTGATATTGTTCATGGCAGTAAAACACTTTTCAAAAAACCCTTTCAACCTGCCACCTCATTAAGCGGCCACGGCCACCTTTTGGTCGTCCCTTTCCAGCAACCTTCCAAAATTTAACTCACTAAGTTTGGCTTTCTTTTGGAAAAGACGATGAAAAATAAGAGTCCGGGATATAATTCAAACACACGTTTATTGTGATTGTCTTGACGTGATTCTATGTTCACTAAGCAATTAACCCAGTTTAATATTTACACGTACATGAACCCCTATTAAGCGGCCACCTCCCATTTCCCAGAGGATGGTTGCTTAATAGCGGCTCGATTATAATTTTTTCTCGTTTTCCTAATTTCAGGAGCAGGTCTTTCTAGACAAGATTGCAAAAGAACTTTACATCTTCAAGAAATTCATTGCCGAAGTGAAAACTCTTGAATCTCAGAAAAAGAACAGCCAATATGTGGTCGAGATGGAACGTATTGATGGTCAAATTAATCGCGTGATCGGCAACGTTAATGATATGGTAAGTGCGATGGAAAAATTGTAAGTAAAGGCCGAAGTTTATAATGCTAAGTTCTGGTACAGTATTCTTTGTCAGTCGCAATTGATTCTTTTTCTCGATCGTATTCAGCAAAATTTTTATCAACTACCTGTAGGCTTTTTTTTAATGATTTGGAAAACGATTTTTTAAAACGTAAATTTCATTAGTTAATGAATTACTTTCTCTTCAAACAGCAAGCTCGCCTTGGCTATGCACTAACACAGATACCCAGTTCTCCCCTGCCCACCCGGAGGCCGTTTGCAACTCAGAAGAAACAGAACGAGTGGGAGCTGGGCGTACTTAAAGGCTTCTTATGGTGGCACAGTCCTGTCTACATGGCATTTTATCAGGAGGCCGGACTAGGCCAATAATTTCGATTATTATTTTCGTACATTATCACGTATCAATGAACTGCTTTATCGTAGAGTTCAAAGCTCGTTCAAGGTTAACATTGGATTAGACTGTAATCCATAACTTCCCAAACTGAATTGTAAGAATATACCACTATGTCAGCGGAATAAAACAAAGTCTGTTATTGCAAACTCATAAATA